CATAATTCGCTTATTTTATAAATCGATATAAAGGTGAACGTCCATGTTGTCTGCAACCACGCAACGGCTGCTCGATACGCAACAAATTTTTCATACCATCAAATCAAATTAAAAGCATTTATTTATCCGATCCAGACTGTTACGAGCACTTGTGAAAGTCAAAATTCTATGTCATAGGTTTGTTCATTCATTATAGAATCGAAGTTTGACCTCAGACAGCGAATCTTGAAACCGGAAATGTGAATCGTTCAGCGCAGAACGGAACTAGATATTTATAATAATTCAGAATCGTACGATTATTCTACTTAATGATTGTGAAATTGATGTTATACCTTAAAATAAAAATGTGACTTAGAGCATTATTATGTAGGAGCAAAAAAAAAATAATATTACCTAATCATCAACTTAGGTCAACCTTCAAAAATAAAATTGTATATAACTTATATATAATTTGTTATTTTGTATTACATCATGAACATTATAAAATCATGGACAAATATAATTATACTATGTGTTTTTATTTACAGCGCCTCTCGTGGAAATATTCAATGGGACGTCGTTCATAGCGATGCGTTCTATCGCCTCGAAACTGGTCACCAGTGAAGAGTTAGGTGAGAAGGCGCAAATCAAACCACGATTTAACTATCATTCTTCTTATTGACCATTTACTCAAGGTTATATGCCAACTTTAGTTTATGCAGATCTTCTCGATTCGACACGATTTTTCAGTGCATTTTACTCTTGCACCCTTTTACCACTGATTAATTTGATCTCCTTTAAGGAAGGTTTTCGGCATATTGCCTTTTTATTGATTATAGCGCTATCAATAAGTATTTAATTATGAAGTTGTTTCTTTTGTATCAAATTCATTACAAAATAGTAATAAAACAAAGAACTTATTATAAATTGCATAGTCTAACAGGTATTACAATCCAAAGGTTAAAAAAAGAAGTAAGTATGTAAATACTCCTATCTATTATCTTATCGAATAACTTTTATGCTGTTTTAACTTAAAATCTAATTTAACTAATCTGAATACCAATTCAGATTTTTTGTCTGATGTTTCTATATATTTAAGACATTTCACAAATTATAATGCTTAGATATTGTTATAATTAATTGTTATTTTGTTAACCTTATGTAGTTATGTCATTAAATATGCGAGAGTAAAACTCTTAACTTAGACCGATTTTTAACGTATTAAAAAAGTATTTACTACAGGATTTATAAAAAAAATTAAAGTAACTACATATTAATAATTCATATGTGGCGCCCCATCGCTTCGCTTTTTTTTATTTTGGTCACAGTTATAAGCCCTTCAGATTTTTTCTGTTTATGGAGAATCTTCCTGATGGAGGTTTTGGAGGGTGGAAGCAGTTAATGGCTAGAAGAAAATATACTACTTCCACGTCAAAATGAAATACAAGAACTTGTAAATTCTAGTTATCATTAGGAAATTAAAGTTTGAATAAAGGCTCTTAGTAAAAACTTGTTCAAAGTAGTAGAAACAAGTCTGGGTTTACTATAACATAAAAATTTCTTTGTTACAGGCAAGGTGAACTCGCTGTTCGGATTGGCTGAGGCTATGATGCCACTGGTGTACGGACCGCTGTACTCCAGGGTGTATATGGCTACACTGAACATACTGCCAGGCGCTGTTTTCTTACTCGGCGCTGGAATGACGGTGCCCGCCGTCGCCATATTCGGGTATAATAATCTACCTACACTTATAATATAACGAGGACAGAAGGTCTACTGCTTCTCCGAAAATATCGCATATTTTCGGAACGCTAAATGCAGTTTTAGATAATTTATGATGCAACGTACTTATCTAAATAACATCCGCGTTACGCCATCGGAAAATAGAAAGTACAGATAGCACAAAATTCATTATACAAATTCTCGAAATATTCAAACGTCCATTAAAATTGCCATTAGTTCTTCTTTACCCATACAAATTTGACATACATTAGAGGTTAAAGGCGTCATCAAACCCTAATGGACGTTTGTGCAACCTACCGTAACACTTGCAATTTGCTAATGCGCTGGACTTTGTCATAATAACACCCGCGTGACGTCATTTGAAAATAGAAAATACAAATAGCACAAAATCCATTACACAAATTATTGAAATATTTATAAATGATCTCCAAAACGGGATCGTAATAATTTATTTGCCTGTAATTTGTTAATATATTGCAAAAAAAATTTCGAGAAAGATATTCAGATAACTAGAGGAGAGGGCGATTTTTTAAAACGCTATTATGAAATAAGAGGCATTGGAATATTTATTATTTCTGCAATCAAGTTTACTTTGTTGTGTAAATTGTCGAAATCATATTAGCAGTTACTAAAGTAATGACAAAACTTAACAATAAATAATCGAAAACAACAAAAACAACAATATTAGTATGTTATCACAGCACAACGCAACTCGATAAGTATACTCATCAACCAGGGCTTATTTGTTAACGGTACTGAGAATTGAATGTGGAATCGAAATCAACTGCATTATATTTGGAATACTTATTAATCATCATCGTCGTCGTCGTCATCATTTCATCTTCATCCTCATCATCAACCTATTAAAATTGAATAGAATATATATTTATTTACCTTTAAATAGGGTACAATTTGATATCAATTCATTAAATTATAATTTGAACTTTAAATGTTAAGATTACATATAGCACGAATGCATCTTTTTTGAGCAATAAACAGAATTTTAGTATCAGTGCCCTTTCCCCAAATCAATAAATCATATCCTAAAATGGATTCTACATATGCGAAATAGGCCATAATAGCCGTGTTTACACTTTATATTAATATCCCCACTGCTAGGCCTCAGCATCCTTTAAGGATGGAATCGGTCACCCACCCTATGACCAGCCCTTGCCTATGTTGCTTAACAACCATATCGCAGACTGAACGCGCTGACCACCGCGTCATCATTGTTGATCAAATTTGCTCTGCAAGATGACGACGATAATGAGTATTTAAAAAAAACATTAGTTCCCGAAATCAAACTAGATGTCGCTACGGCACTTTCTTGATTTCTCCATGACAACCCTTCTGGTTTTTCTTTCATCTATAAAAGCAAATTAGTTTTCAAAATTCAATGAACAACTTATATTCTATTTGTACTTTTTCGTATTTGTATTGTTATCTAAGATATGAATTTTGCAAATTTCAGTTTTTTTTTTATATGTTAGTTAAAAGGAACGGAAATTACTATGTTTGGTCCATTCGTTTCCTGCAAAAAACTTTTGCTACAATCGCCATCTAGTGGAGGTGCTTTTTAGTGCTTTCTTTTTTTAAATACTTTCCCATTGTATATTTTTTTGGCGAGCGTAAAATAAGTCTTTTCAATTAACATTTCGAACAATAAGTTAATGTTTTATTTTAATATTTACTATGTACTTTATAAATTTTCCAATTTCATTTTATCACTTATAGGTACTCGAAATAAGTACCTTACCTGAATGATCCTCTCGCCGACTGTTAAGCGTATCATCTATTAATAACATTTGAGAAGATATTTTCCCATTGTAACATATTGAATATGCAAATCACTGTTCATTGACGTGCTATGGAAACTGCGAGTCTGTGATACGCGAATAAAACCGCGTTGTTGCCATAATAATACCAAAGCATTATAACATTTGCGTATTTAAGTTTCATATTAATATCTAATGGTAGTTTTAGGTATCAAATAATCAGAATTCGATGGAATCGCAAGTGAAATAAAGCTTACAATACATAGTATAAATCAAAGATACTTCCCTCTGTCTGTACGCTGAGATATTTAAATTACACATTATACATAATGTGAGTGAAGCCGCTGGTGGAAAGCTAGTAAAAAAAATTACCACATCATTAACTTACAACTGCTAATGACGTAATACGGTATACACCACAATAAAATTTTCTATGTATAAAGTGTTAAGTGGTACAATAAACTATAGGTATCTGTAAGAGATAAAACATTTTCCTCTATTATTAATAGAAATGGGCTGAGTAGTCATTTTTTACTCAATACTTAATCACCAGCCTATTGATGTTGTGTACCAGCCCCACTTCTAGGGCTCAGGCCTTTCCTAAATGGAATCGAATAGAATAAAGAGAATGCACCAAGTGCCCAATGTGTATCGGTCGGTATTATATACTGCACATGTAGCCGGGACCAAGAGCCTAACGTGCCTTTCGAAGCACGGAGGAGTTCGAGATAATACATTTTTAGTCTCCCATCCTATTGTGAAAGTTGCTTAACAACCGTATCGCAAATCGAGCGCACTGGCCACTGCGCCATGGAGCTCCTCTTATACAATACTTATTCGAATTTAAATGAAATATTATAAAGCTGTAGCTCGTTGGTGTAGTGGATAAGCGCCGCGGTCCGCGATCGTTGTCGTTAAGCAACTTTCGCAAGGGTCGGTCACGGGATGGGTGACCAAAAAATTATGATCTCGAGCTACTCCGTGCTTCGGAAGGCACGTTAAGCCCGGCTGCATTTGCAGTCGATAATACCCTCCAATCCGCATTGAACCAGCGTGGAGAGTCATGGCCCATCCTCCTTAACCATCCATAAGGAAGGCCTAAGCCCCTGCAGTGGGGACGTAAAAGGGCTGATAATGATGATGATAATTATAAAGCTGAAGAGTTTGTTGGTTTGATTGATTAATTATTAGTGAAAAATGCGTTAACCAATAGATGATAATTAAAATGAAGTAATAACTGACAATAGCTACAATAATTCTAGTTAATTCGTCAAAAATATTTGCTTAAGTTACGAGATTTTCACGATAATTCTCTCGACAATAATACGAATAAAAGCAAAACCGTCTCGTTACCAAGCAATGTGTGAACTCATCGACACTAGTACGCAAATAATAAAAAACAAGATCCTTGATGACGTTACCTCGGTCACCGCGGTCAAAAATACGATGTACTCAATCTAACCATAATCTATCGCGTGACGCGGCGTGTTGCGGTTTAATATCTCTATATTTAACCGCAACACGCCGCGTCACCGTGCTAGTATCACACTCGCGATATATAAAATAAAACAAATATTCCCATTCCAGATGGATGTACTTCGAACAAAAGGAGGACAACAGACAAGCCGAAGAAATGGAAAACGTGAATAAAGAAATTTGAATAGCGTTAAGTGACTCGCATTTATTCATCAGTGAAAGTATCAGTGAACATTAATAATAAGTGTTTTGATCATGTGTGAAAATCGTAATAAAATTTATTGACAAATATTTGTTTTGCATTCATTAATGTAATCACGCTAAGTGTCATCACAATAATATTATGGCCAAGATGATCGAATGTCATCGGATCGATAGATTTGTTTGAATTGAATATCGCTTGCGGCGAGTTTATTTTCGATTCCTACGAGTATGTTTGTGAACGCATTAAAGACTGATACGGCAACATAAGAGTGTTTGCTTACATATCGCGAACAATAGAACGCTAGCTCCGTTCCGACGACGACGGATCGACACTCATTCAATATCAAATCGTCTATTTATCTTGGTGCTGTGTATATGTTCTCTAGCTTATATCAACAATGTGACCATGTATCTGCAAAGTTTCCGCGGACGGCTTAAAGTGTAACGGTACAAAAGCATTCGTTTCGTTCAATATATTTCGAAGTTTTCTGTAAAAGTCTACAAAAGAAATAAAATAAAGCCCGTATCAAAATGGACAAGTTAGATAGATCGGAAACGAACGTGTCACAAAACACGAACGAAGAACTACCTTTGAAAACGGAAGCCAAAGAAGTTCAAAACATGACTCTTTTGGAGAAGCTGACATATTTGAAATCGAATATAACAGTGGAACCAGTTTTGGCATTGTTTGTTATGCCTAGTGTATTGGCAATGTTGGCAACGCAAAATTTGAATTTGGATAAAGCTTGTCGAGTCAATTTAGGATTTGGTGACGCTGTTTGCACAGACTTGCGGCTGAGAAGGAGAGCTAATCATAGTTTCGAAGAAGAGGAAGTCCAGAAACTGATAGCGTCAGTTCAGGCTTGGAAGAGCGTTGTGCACACTGCTGTACCTACTTTATTGATGTTGTTCATTGGTGCGTGGAGCGACAAAACTGGAAAGAGAAAGATATGCATGTTGATGCCAATCTTCGGAGAATTCATGACATGCATCTTGAACATGATCAACACGTACTTTTTCTATCAAGTACCAGTAGAATTGACTGTTCTAATGGAAGTTATATTTCCAGCATTTACGGGGGGCTGGTACACAATGTTTCTTGGTACTTTTAGTTATTTAGGCGATATCACTTCAAAAGAAACAAGAACTTTTCGAATGGGTATACTGAATTTATGCATGACTATTGGTTTTCCGATAGGAATGGGTTTGAGTGGAGTTTTACTACGATATTTGGGCTACTACGGAGTATTCAGCATATCAGCTACACTTCAATTTTTAAATTTTTGCTACGTTTTCTTTGCAATAAAAGATCACACTTGGCTAGAAAATAAGGAAAAGGTGAGTAATGACAAAATTTTATTATCAGTAGACGAACGAAAAGTAGACTAATGTCACATTATCTAGTAATAAAATTCAAATTCACGGTCACATCAATGTAATATTTATTAATTGGTTCCTGTCTCAGGTCATTATGATCAGTAAGGTGTTTCTAATAATAACCAATATAAACTCTTCTGATTGATTTCCTAGTTTTTGTATATAAGTTTTACTATTTGTAAATTATTATTTAATACATAAAATCATATGCCACCTAATATTATCATGAATTGTAAAATTTCTTCAAGGTGAAAAAAACTGGTTGTACTGGCTTCTTGCTTGAATTCTTCGATGTGCACAGCCTTAAAGAGACCTTTGAGATCGCTTTCAAGAAAGGTGCAAACAACAGAAGATTAAGAATATGCCTTGTATTAACAGTGGTTTGCCTGACTTTTGGACCAATGTGGGGTAAGTGTAATTTAATGTATAACAAAACGACAAACGATATATTATTCATATCGAAATAGCAACGGATTTTCCATAGCTTTGTAGTTGTATAGCACTTCGTACAGTATGGCAATACTGCTAAGTTAACATAATTACAGAAAGTCAATAACGCTTCAACTACAACTCTAAAACAATTCGTGTTACTAAATCACAAAATATTAAATTTATCTATCACCATTGATTTGTGTGGGAGAAATTGCACTAATAAATTAATATTGGACTTCAGTATTGGACTAGAAAGGCTACCCGTCCCTTTCTTCCCCAGTGACCGCCCCTTTCTTATTTTTTATGAAGGTGTCTTACTGATGGCCTTGACGGTGTAACTGGACTAAGGGACTGTTAGATTACAGTGTAACCGGTCGCCCATTCCTCACTGACGTATACCTATATGACATAGTAGTTTCGACGGTGTTAGCGAAATTTAAATGATACGTAATGCCATCTAGTAACGGGTAGATGAAACATCGCGCCGCTGCCCTCCGTAATAATACTTAACTGATATCATAATTTCTATAGTAACAACGTTCACCCTCCGATTGTAGAACAAACATTTAATATGTTTTATCAAATATTAAGTTAAGTTTATATAGAATAAATAAACAATAATCAATCCAATACGTAATTAATTATTGTAAACTTAACACATTTATTTTTATCTCTATCATCCAGAGTTATATTATATAGGTTCACCTGAAATTGTGTAGATATTTGCTTAATATTTATGGTTTTACCCGAATAAGCGGTTACGTATTTTTAAGAACGGATTTTCCTCGTCATGTTCAAAACAAAAAAGTTTTCTTTAGCTCGCAACCATTACATCATAGAGATCTGTTTTTTAATCAGCGAGCGGAACTTTATTTTTATTTTTTTCGAATGGCATCGATAGGCGATATTTTTATTTAAATTTTAATTTAAATCACATTTTATATTGGTTCTTGAAATAACTTAATTTTAATATTTACAAGTACTTTTTACTTTTTAAACATAAAATGATACTAAACTATAAAAATCTCAATTAAGCACATTATGCAATCAAAAAGATGAGACAACAGAAAAATAACTCCAAAAAGGTTACACGTCATTGAAATGCAATGAAATGAAATGAAAAAGACTTTCGATTAGGATCATCGCCATCTTTCATTCGTTTCATTTTCATTTTACATGTAGAAATAAATTTATTCACTTGACATTGGCAGAATTGTGTGAAATGCGCAGATAAGCCATTAATAAAAGAAGAAGAAGAAGAAATGAAAAAGTTTTTATTCAAGTAAGCTTACAAGCACTTTTGAATCGTGAAAAAAAAATTTTTCCCCTACCACTTGTTCAGGACGTCTTTTAGCTGACAAGAAGAACAAGCGAAAGAAACTTACCAGCATTTCATCATAAGTAATGACATTTACATAAATCATTTCATTACCAAAATAATACATATATTGAACAATAATAAATACAAGTTTCAAAGTCTGTAGGACATAGGTTGGTACATACCTATAATTAATCGTTATAGAACAGAGCAAAGGCTATTAATTCCATGCATTGCGATCCTTAAAATAATCATCAACTTTATAATAGCCTTTACTCATTAGTATATTCTTTATCTGAATGTGAAATTTATTTATGGGTAGGTCAATTACATTTTGTGGTACTTTATTGAACATAGCAATAAATTTACCTAGAAATGATCCTCTGGTTTTTTGAAGTCTGAAGCTTGGAACGGCAAGTTTATTTTTATTTCTTGTGTTAAGATTATGAACACTACTTTTTACTACGAATCATTACCCCTCTCAACTTTAAACAGTAAAGAGGTGTCATCTGCAAATAATACTGTCTCGCACAAATTCTTCGTAAAGTGAGGAAGATTATTAATATAAATTAGAAAAAGCAATGGTCCTAATACCGATCCCTGAGGTACGCCTATAGTAACTGGTGCCCCTGCAGATTTCGCTTCATTAATTACTACTTTTTAATTGTAGCAGAAAGATATGATTTTATTAGATTAAGTGAATTTTTCGTCACACCATAATGCTCTAATTTCCCCAAAAGTGTGTCATGACTAACGCAGTCGAATGCTTTTGACAGATCGCAAAAAATGCCAATAGCATCTTGTTTATTATCCCAAGCATCATAGATATGCCTCAGAAGTGCAATTCCAGCGTCTGTGGTACATTTACCTCTACAGCGTCTGAGGATGATATTATAGATGAGGATGATATGATATATAGATGGTATTATAGATTTGATAACATAAATTGAAACGCCCCAAAGATCGGTTTACATTATTAGATTTTTTACATTAATAGAATTAAATGTTTTAATAATTGAGCAGACGTTAACATGTCTAAAATAAAATTCAGTATTGCACTTATCAACAACTGACTCTAGATGCGTAACCGCAAGTTTAGAACATGAACTAAGATTTCAAGTGATTTCTATTGGTGTCTTAGAAAAGAATTTCTCAAATGTATCGGCAACAGCTTCATCTGTTTTAATAATTTTATTGTCAACCTCTAATAAGTATGTGCGCATATTACTTTTATTTTTACCCGTTTCTTGATTTATGATAGTCAAGGTTGTTTTTATTTTATTTTCTGAATTGTAAATTATTTCAGATATATATTTTGCTTTTGCTGAAACACATACTTTCCTAAAAATTTTCGAATAATTTCTGACATATTCAATAAACTTTGGATCGGTCGAGGTACACTTTAGCTCATACAAATCATCATACATTAACATTAACAATAACATCACAATTTGTTAAAAACCATCACTATAAACGTGGAAAGTAGCAGATAAAATTATACATTTATACGTCTATGAAATGACGAACATTCAATAGCAGGTTACATATACAAAACTCTCCAATATATCCAAATTTAAACCTTGAATATTTGAGAGAAGAGTAGAAAATCATTCGCAGTTACCTGACATACTGCTGTCTTCTATAACTGAACTGACTTCAAAAATAGTTTTGAAATCTATACACTTTGTTTTCGGTTTACGTAAATACGACCATATCACATAATATCGTTGCCCATCCGTGAACGCAGGTTCTTGAAAATAGTATGCACTCTCTTCAAAATTCTTTACGATCCACATGCTCCTGAGTATTTAAAATCTAGGTTTCAATTCTTAGGGGCTGTCCATTAATCACGTGAGGCTCGAAAGGGAGGGGAGGGGTCCATAAAAAAGTCACGATATATCACAAGGGGGAGGGGGGGTGAAGTAACATATCACGTGTATTTATTTTTTTGACAAACGCGCGATACTCAACCGAAAAGCGGCGTAAATAAGTGTAATAAAATTATTTTTTCGTCAAACGTTCATGAAATAATAATATTCATTAAGTTTTTCGCATTCCTTTCATTATTTTTGTCAATCAAAAACAACCTGCAAGTCCTGTAATCTTTCTGTCTACCTCTAGACATTATTGTACTCTTTAATTGTCTATGATACAATTAGAAAATTAAGATTCATTGTAAGTACTAAAAATACACGTGATATATGGGGACGGGGGGGGGGGGTAGTCTTAAACCTCACCATGTATCACTATGGGGGAGGGGAGGTTAAAAAATGACAAAAAAAAATCACGTGATTAATGGACGGCCCCTTAGGAGTTGCACATCGAAAGAACTTCACTCCAGTTGCAACTTGGTACTTCAAACTCCTGCTCATCATACTCAGTTTGTCTCAGATCCTTTCACCCTCTCATCCATAAGACTTTGGAATGCACTTCCCTTGAGCATCCGGAATGCGTCAAACAGTTTCGCATTTAAGAGAGAAGTACCTTATCGAAAATTATCTCCAATCATTTCTTGTGTTTTATACATAAACATGAAAATTAATAAATACATATACATGAAAATTTATTTATTTGCATGTTTATGTATTTATATATATGTTTATAGTGTATAAGTATATATTTGTATTTTATATATAATCTTTTAGTATTATTCGTTAGGAATTGTAGCTTTATTTGTTCTTTTATGATACTGCCTTTTGAATGCTCTGTACATCTTTCACCGGTTTGACTGGTAGATAATGTCTTTTTGGCATTAAGTGCGCCTTTTGCTATTTAATAGGCATAAAAATTAAATAAATAACAACCATTCAACAAACAATCAACAACACAATGTTCCATAAACAAATGTCCAAAGTCGCATTGTACAAGCGGCGTTCGTGTTGGATTGTTTGATTTATTCCGGTTATCTGTTTGCTGGCACGACATTGCGACGCAACTGACGTCACAACATTACAACAGACCTTGTTACCTTTGCAGCAACTTATTGCTCTGAACTTGTATCTGAACCATAGAAGCAATAGAAGCCTTCGTGTATCCAGAAATGTTGTAAGAAGAAAAAAAAAACGAAAGGAATTTGGTATAAAACTTTTCTTTCCCCCATTTAAACTGATCTAGTGTACTAAATCTAAAAAGATGTGCGTAGGCCTCTTTTGGTCTAATAACGCTGTCTAATATTTGACGACCGTTATTTTGGAGTTTTTTTCCATATTTTTTTCCCAATATACCTTACCTTATTTAATAGATGAAATAACGGTTTTGTCATAATTATTTTTCTGCATAGGATATTACGCTTAAATATTATTACGCTCAAAAACTCTTCAAAGAGTTTTCATTACTGACGTTGTACCTAGTTAAGTTCGTTTCATGTATAATTTAAAATAAATATTGTGAACTATGACGTCACCACATCGTTGCAGAGCCAGCGTCTACCAATTAAAACTTGTTTTCAAGAGCACCACGGCGTAAAGTTTCTTCAAAGTAAACCAGGGATAGAAAATAATATCGAGCAAGCAGTATTGTTCCGATAATACAATTAATGTTTACGTAACGTAAAGGTGCGTCACAGTGTTCCCCGATGTAAACCGAATGTAATTGGATTTCACTATGTTTACTAACTTTATTATACTCTATAAACAATCAAACAGTTGCGGCTGACCTGCTGATTGTGATACGAACGGTTAGTCCGCAAATATAACCAGCTCTATATTGATTGGCTGTCTAAACCAGACCTCTGACTTTTTGCTGCTCCCCTGGGCATTTCCAAATATAAAACTGAAAAACCTTTAAAAATATGTATGTTGTTTTCTAAAACTACGCAAAATTAAGCATCAGCTCGATGGCGCAGTGGTTTGCGCATTCGATTTGCGACGCGTAAGTTAAGCAACTTTCACCGAGTCTAGTTTCAGATGGTTGACCCTGAAATTTCAAGATCAAGTGGCGAACTTTGGCGAAAAATGCAAAAAACCGCAAACTTTGAGCTTTCATATGTTCTGATATATATCATTACAAGAAATTCATAGATGCGATCAACTTTAAATTTAAGCAGCTTTCTGGCACTTTTCATGGCTGGAAAAGAGTCTCATTCTATTTTCTCGGAGCACATTAATCTGCACGTGCATTAATTAAAACCAATTCGCAGTGGGCCCACGTGGTGGATCATGTGAAGGCTTTTTTTGGATAACGCAGGGAAAATTCACCTTAAGCCTTAACCAGGACTCTCCAACTACCACGCCCTGAAAAGGCCAGGTTTATGTGGAAGGCCTACTTGGTAAAACCCGCTGCGGTTTACTTCACGTGGTTGGGTAGAACTCAGTATCTTGCAAGGAGGGCCTGGTTATCCATAGGGAAGACCTGTAACCAGCATTGGGGATATTAACGACCTGGAGGTGATGATGATATTATAAGAACGTTAGCAAAAATAAAATAACAATAACCAAAAATGAAGAAAAAACTTTTAAATGGTTAATTCAATTCCATCAATGCTGATCGGAGGCCAATTTGACATAACTTATATCAATTTTGCTCTAATTTTATTTTATACTAGCTTTTGCCCACGACTTCGTCCGCGTGATATAGTTACTATGGGCAGCATTTCTAAAAAGGCTAAAACAAATATTGTTCATGCCTGAAATTCCAAACAAACTTTGGATCCCTATTTATTTCTCCCTCCCTATTTTATTTAGCCTTTTTATAACGCAAAAAAAAGCAACCTATATCCTATCTCAAATAAACTGTATTTAGTGGATTAGGCGTGAGAGCTTAACAGACATACATGTATATACACATATAATAAGAGATTATAAGACAGTAACCAAAATAAATTGTATTATGTATTTGCAACAACATTCAATTAATACATTCATTGCCGCAATATGCAGGTAATTCAATATCAATGAATGCGTGAATTTTATTTTATTTATTTCTTGCATTATTTGAAAAATTATTTTATGGCTGTGAACTATAACGAGGCTCCCAATTGCGCGGGGCCCGTAGCATTTACCACTTTTGTTACGTTGATAACCCAGTCCTGGTAATGCCCTATACAAATGTACATCGACAAATAATTTAATAAACGGAATGTAATGTATAATTACAAAATTCGTACTATTTCCCTGAACATATTTAATGTTTTTATTGACAATGAACATCGTTAACCAGCTCATATTGAATGATAATAATGAACAATAAAATATGTAAATATTCCACAACATGCAGGGACTCTACAAAACTTTCATTTGTTGAAATGGCTAATTTAACATAGGATTATTTAATTTTAATCATCATCATCAGCCCTTTTACGTCCCCACTGGGGGTCAGGCCTTCCTTATGGATGGTTAAGGAGTATGAGCCATGACCCTCCACGCTGGCCCAATGTTTTGGATTATATTAACGACTGCAAATGCAGATGGAACCAACGGCTTACGGTTCAGCTAGAGATATTAATTTTTTTGTCACCCATCCCGTGACCGAACCTTGCGAAAGTTGCTTAACAACATTTTAATGCTACAAATTTTACAATATTAATCGTAATCAAGTTAATGGTTACTACCACCACTAATACCACATACATCAAAATATTAATATAATAATTAATATATGAAGCAATTTGTTTTGTTATTTTTCAACGAATATTGCGCAGGATACGGGTACACATGTACACATGTGTGAATTTGAAATCGGCTCTGGATTACAGAATCCCAGGGCAGATTTCCGTGTGTACCTGCGCAGATTTCGAAGCTTGGTTATAATTTTCGGCCAATCAGAATAATTCAAGTAATGCGCCATCGGTCGATTCAATCAGTTCAATAAAAATTGAATATATTTGCGACTTGAAAATTTACCTATATTCATAATTCATTAACGAATAACTGCTCCAGCTACCGTCGGTTATGCATTTATAAAAATATCACCATATTTGTTACAACCCAACAGGGAGCTTTGTAGAGTGATTGCATTGAATCAAACCGACAATTCATTGGATTACTAATAAAGCAATCATGTTTTACAATTGGATTGTAATGCTCCTGTGATAATGGCATTTAAATTATTCTCACATGTAAACGTTTAAAAGGATTTTGCCAGCGAGGGTTTTTTCAATTAAAATTAACTGAATGAACTCGTTATACGTGTTCATTATAATGTGTATTAGATTCATTTATTACGCATGTAAAGAAGAGTGGAAAAGAGTAAATCGCTAAGACTTTTCTTTACGTCTGTCATTAGACCGTATCTCGTGAACGGTGATATTAGGCAGTTGAAATTTTCACAGACATAAATACAGAATAAAATTAATATTATAGGGAGGGGGCATACAACGAGCGTGATTTTTAATGCGTTTTTCATAGATAAGTCAAGTGAGAGTCTAACTCGCGTACGAAGGCTTCGTAGACTCTCACTTGACTGGTTTTTACATCCCTTATCTTACTGCTACACCCAGATATATCATTCTGTAATCTTTTCTTTCCTGTTCTTACGTATTGTATGTGTTTATGGTTTAATTGTGTGAAGTTTCTTTTAACAAACGATATCTATTCAATATTATAATACCGTAGGTGAACTCAGCATCATGTACCTATTCGCCCGGTACCGCTTCAACTGGGACGAAGTCAAATACAGCATGTTCTCAACATACAGTCTCATTACTCATTCAATAGGTAAGTGATTCGAATATTATAACTCTGAACGTTATTTTTTCCAAGAAAAAACACAATATTCTGCCGTTTTCAGATTTTCTCTAAAAACAGTCTTGTTATTGCTATAGTATAATAAGAAATAATAAATTTCGGATACAGAACATCTGAAAAAATCAGACGAAATATATCTTTGCAAAGACATCGACGTAGACAAGTTTTTTTTTTTGTTTTAATGCTTTCAATATATTAGACTTATGGAGACAATGTGTTGTTTCATAATCATAAACCCGCAAAATTCACAACCAGACTTGATAATTTTGTTTTTTCCCTGTGAATATATTAGATATTATTTGCTATTACTCAATATCTCGAATACCGATCGTATATCGATTATTTTTCAAAGTAACGATATCCTACCTATATAGGTTATGTAAATGTGCTTCATGTAGGTTACGTACAAATGAAGAAATTTATATTAATTCAAAATTAAATTATTTGTAAATCAGTGGTTCCCAATGTTGGGTTAGTTGAGTTACGACCTATCTAACTAAACTTAAGCCATAAAAATATGTATTATACAGAGACGAATCGCCTATTAGGGCCCATTCAAAATTCATTCGGTGGGTTAGAACATAAAAATCACAATAATTTTGTACTTATTTATGATTTTCTCCCTTAGGAACACTATTCTCGATAAGTGTATTCAGCAAAAAATTGAAAGCGGATGACTCAGTGCTGGGCATGATATCGACAACTAGTAAAGTCTGCGGGGCTCTCGTGTTAGCCTTCGCAAGGAACGACTATGAAGTCTACATATGTAAGTATGACATATGAAGCCCTATTTTTACTAAGCTAGTGTCACAAAGACGACCGACTGCTTTTGAAAGTCTCAAATTCTAACTAGGTTACATTCGTATTGTAGTTATTCAAACGTATTTTAGTTTCTTTGTTTATTATTTCCTGATAAAATCAAATAAATTCTAGAATTATATGTAGCTATTTGTTTTATATGTAGTTTGAAAATAATATGAAAGAATTATTTTTTCTATAAATTAAAGTATTTATAAAAAGTCTAGTTTTCAAGATTTATTGTTTCTCGGTGTGGGTGTGTTAATTGCTGTTTGCTGATTTTTGTTTTGTATTCCTTCACAAAAAACTTCAGATAGGTTCCTTCTATGCAAGCTCGTCCCACCGTCTTATTTATATCCATAGGGCTATATTGAGGTCAAGAGTGAGCTTATTATAAATAAAAAAAATATATATAATTTATTTTACTATTGCAAACAGTTTCAAATTCATATTTTTCCTTTCAGCACCGCTCGTGGAAATACTAAACGGAACAACGGCGATCGCATTACGTTCAATCGCATCTAAATTGGTGTCATATCAAGAGCTGGGTAAGAAATTTGTGAACATAATGGAAAACTTTACAACGCAAAATATGATACACAAAATCTAATCTAAATATATATAACTCAAAGGTGACTGACTGACATAGTGATCTATTAACGCACAGCCCAAACACTGGACGGATCGGGCTGAAATTTGGCATGCTGGTAGATGTTATGATGTAGGCATCTGCTAAGAAAGGATTTTGATCAATGCTACCCCCAAGGGGATAAAATAGGGGATGAAAATTTATATGGAACTTTGTCAATTTTAAACCGATCGGGCTGAGACTTTGCATGAATAAAGCTACTATGACGTAGACATTCCCTAAGAAAGAATTTTTATAAATTGTACCCCTAAGGGGATAAAATAGGAGATGAAAGTTTGTATAAATCTTCTTAGATTTTCGACTGATGGAACTGAAATCAAAGATTGGAGCTCCTATGATGAAGAGGTCCGCTTAAATAGGACTTTGATAAATTCAACCCTCATGGGGATAAAATAAGGGATGATGGAGGATGTAAATGTATTAGTTTGAACCTATCAGTACCTAATGGAACGAATAAATAAATATTCGTTAGAAATGTTGCTCAAAGTAACTTTACCACGCGAACGATGTCGCAAAGCTAGTCATTCCATAAAATCTTAGTTCTGACTAAAGTCAATTGAGCAAGTAATTTTTTCAACCTAAAACATAACATTTTCTTACCAGTTATGATCTAATCTGAATTATATCTTCATTATTAGCTAAGTCCATTGCTAAGGTATAGTCTTTTGGTAGAAAATGAGCAACAACCTATCACACGAACTTAGTGTAGATGGAAGATGCAGGTACAGCAAGGACAGCCATGCAGGTGATTTCGGGCCTCTGCTGAATTTTGAAAATTATTGAAATTTTTAAATCGCAAACCGAATGCACAAGTCCATCCATAGAGATGGAGTACATTGAGTTTTTTATTAAGTCAACTTAAGATTTGTAAAAGTTGCTTGGAAATTTTGCAGTCAAAATTTTTTATTTAACTTACAATAGAACAATAAAAATCACATTGAACTATACTCAATCTAATTTGTCTGCAGCTGGTGTTATTATTTTATTAGCGCATGATGTAGATGTCATTGCTAATAATTTATCAATTTACAGGGAAAGTGTTCTCATTATTCGGGTTGGCAGAAACTACTATGCCTCTCATTTTCGCTCCACTGTACTCCCGGGTGTACGTGCTGACACTACAGGTGTTGCCAGGAGCTGTGTTCCTCATAAGTGTGCTGGCAACACTGCCCTCCATCGCCATATTCGGGTATACTTTCAATATTTTATAAGAAAATACGACTAATACAAACTACGTGCCACGGTCTTTCCTGGTAGACGTGTGTGTATTTTGCATAAAATAAGATCATTTCATTATTAACATCGATTTAACTGTAGCCGCCAAATTCCACGCTAACAACATCCAGTGGAGAGAGATAATTTCTCTTTAGGGTTAGTGCACATCTGACGGAAAATGCGTCGTGTATCACTCAGAACAAACAAATGCCAAAAAAACATTCCAGCTTGCACACTATGATGCGTTAGTGAATCAAGCGTTCTAATAAATACTTCCGCTGCTATATTGTTCATGACGCATATTCCGGCAAATGTACTACACGCGTTGCACTTAACTTGAGCTATGTTCAATAAAGTTCCACAAAATGTAATTGACCTACTCATAAATAAATTTCAAATTCATGTAAAGAATATACTTATGAGTAAAGGCTATTATAAAGTTGATGATTATTTTAAGGATCGCAATGCATGGAATTGATAGCCTTCGCTTTGTTCTATAAAGACTAATTATATGTCCAACCTATGTCCTACAGGCTTTGACAGTTGTATTTATTATTGTGATAATACATATTATTTTGGTAATGACATGATTTATGTAAATGTCATTACTTATGATAAAAAGCTGGTAAGTTTCTTTCGCTTGTTCTTCTTGTCAGCTAAAAGACGTCCTGAACAAGTGGTAGGGGAAAAAAAATTTTTGGACGATTCAAAAGTGCTTGTAATAGCCTACTTGAATAAAGATATTTTCATTTCATTTCATTTCATTTCATGAGCGCTGGAAATTTCTCTCCATATACTAAGGCTGCCAATCCATTGCAATACTATACCTATCACAATGCAGTTGTATGAAATTTTATTTCTGCTCTATTTCTTTACTTCTACGCAAAATGTAAATTACCTATATTTTTAGATGGTTCTACTGTGAACACAAGAGAGATAAGAAAGAGAGAAGACTGAACGTCATCACGCCACCGTTGCCGAACGAGGTGCCGATAGTTGTGCCATAATACTAAAAGGGAAAATAATACTTCATCGTCGGTACTTTGATCAGAGTATTCGAAAGTGTAAATTGGAAATTTTAATGCAGAACTGACAATACAAATGGTGAATATGTCAATAATTTCCAACTATGTAAAAAAGCTTATATTTATTACTTTTTTGTAATTTTATTGGTTTTGCAATAAATTATCTTGTTGTACTTTCCGATATTTCAATTAGAAATACTAAAAAATTTTGTAAATAAATAAGTTTATAATAAGGTCAATAATAATCGAGTAAGTGAATTACTTACAACTGTTTGCTATAAATATGTAATTTCAAAGTTTCGGTCTTTTATATGTTTCTTTTAGCCTGAAGACGTCTAAGAAGTTTATAATGATCTTAACTTTGGGAGATTTTATCACTTCTATGAAGTCCTTAGTTGATATTACGTTTGTGGATTACGAGTCCACACGATCGCTACTATTTCCTTCATTAGGTGTCTTATAATATCAGTATCTATATTATAAAAAATGCTTGAAAAATTGACTGTCTCATATATAAAAGAGGGGAAAACTTTAGAACAAGGAACAATGTCGAATTATTTAATTTTTGAGTAAGATTATTTTAAACTTTCAATATAATTATGTAAAAGTTTAACGTTGCTTTTCTCCACCTCCAAAATCTTTTGAGTTACACAAATAACTTAAATGATTACTACCCGTACCAATTAACATGAAACCTGATGGCCCATTCTATTTCTCCAAAAACGAAATTTCATAAATTTTCCAAATACTAATACGACCCCAAAAAAAACCCCAAAAAAAAGCGATTTTCGATAATTTATTATGGTACTGAGGAAGAACCTGACACTGCTTCTGATGTACCGACGATCTTCTATATTTCCGATAATATATTATATTTTTATGTAATATATTATTTATAATATATTTCCGAATTTTCGTTCGACGACAAATAGGATAAAGCCTCCGGTATTATGTTAATTCGTACGAGCAGTATAAGAATATATGCCATCATAAATCAATTCATTTAAACCTGACCCTGGTTTTAAATGACCCTTCAGATGTATCTTGTCGTTTTTTGGGAGTATTTTAAAGTCTTTATATAAGAAAAAATGTTTATTTACAAATACATGTCTTTCACAAAGCAGTTATCAAAAATTAAGTAGCTTCTTCATATGAGAAACTTGTTTTCGCAATCAAACAATAGGTTTTTTGTCTAGAAAATGAAATTGTCAATGTAATATTTATGAAATTTGATACTTTATTGTTTTTGTTAATTTTAATACAATATAAAATTTGTTTGAGTGCGTTTTCTACCTCTAATATAAAACTAAAAATAATGCAGATGTCTATTTTTTTCCATGTTTGTTTAATGAATGTAATTTTTAGATTTGAATTGAGTGTGAACATTCTTGTTAATTTCTTAATAAAAAATTTGTATCTATTATACCATTTACCGACTTTCGCTTAGACTATATCAATTTTTGTTTTTTCAATTGAAAATATCAATTAGAGGATGCTCTTAGGAGGGGCGATAAATAAAACTGCGGTGATAGTCTCATAATATTTATTGACATACTTTGTAACATAATTAGCTGTTATTACACTACATGGTTTATCAGACCTGCAATAAAAAGCAACCAAAACATTGCTAAATTTTAATTAGATAGTAAACATTAAGCCTAACTTAATATAAAATTATTTGTTTCAGTGGATAGTGGAATATTTTTATCCTACCACTATTAGTGTCTAATTTTATAAAACAAGTTATTATTTTTAATACACGTTCGATTTACACTTAAAAATTTTTGCGCTAAAGTATGAAAAAAATATTCAAATAATCAAAATTATTTTTAAATAAAAAAACTCTTGCTTGAAGGGTTTTTTGCAGCCTTTAAACCATCCGACTTCTAGTGAAATTTTCTTGAGTTGTTTTACAAATAATCGAAAATTAGAACCCACCACAGTCGAGGGGCTCTAGATTTTTTGATCACTCATCCTATGACTTAACCTTGTGAAACACACTGAATCCACGAGAGCATAAAACTCCTCTGGAACATCGTGGAACATATGTATGTTGTACAAAATAAGTTATTCACTAGATAACCTCCTCTATTATTTCGAACTTGTTTATTTACGCCATTGTCGTCTGTTTGCACTACGCTACTATTGGTTCTCAATATTACCTACTTCTGTCAAAGAGGAACACTCTGAGATTACATTTCGCCAATGAGATTTAGTCTGCGCACTGTACCCAATCTATGGAATTTCGAGCGTCGTAAAATAGAGACAAAAGAGGTCCATCCGAACATGTGCATGCAGGTACTAAAGCGATGTCCGGCACTTAAAATGAGATTTACGGTGCACTGGAGCTCTATTTTTGATTCACTCGTTTAAAATCTCCTTGCCGTATATGACCTAAGTCACGTTCGACTTCTAAGTCGTGTGACGCTTTTTTTTAATATTATGAATCGTTCGCCTGAATAGAGCCAACATGATTCAAAATATTGAATTTTGTTCTTTGTATGGTATGATTATGGTATGATTATTGAGTAGCTCGGTGGCGTAGTCGATAAGCGCCGCGGCCCGTGATCGTAGTCGTTAAGCAACTTTCGCAAGGGTCGGTCACGGGATGGGTGACCAAAAAATTATTATCTCGAGCTACTCCGTGCTTCGGAAGGCACGTTAAGCCGTTGGTCCCGGCTGCATTTGCGGTCGTCAATACCCTCCAATCCGCATTGGGCCAGCGTGGAGGGTCATGGCCCATCCGCCTTAACCATCCATAAGGAAGGCCTGAGCCCCTGCAGTGGGGATGTAAAAGGACTGGTGATGATGGTATGGAAAATATTTTTTACCATATATGTATATATAAACAAAAAAGTGTGCATGTAAACAAAACGGCCATAAACGTCATTTATTCATTCATATCGACGCCATTTATTAATTACATGTATTGACGTTTATTGTATCACTCGCATACAGCGTTCGCTAACTAAACAACAAGTGATTCACACCGCTCGAATGCACCACTCGTTGCATTCGAGCGAAATAGTAATGGCGAATTAATTACGTCGAACAAAAATCAATAGAAAGCGAGGGCTCGACGCGAGACGAACGATTCAAAAATATGACTCCTAGATAACACAGCGGCCTGTGTGCATTTCGCATCGAATTAAAGCCACTATTTGCTATTTTCTGTTGCATAGTAAATTGCTATTGCTTGAGGAGTAAAAGAGAATTGCTAATATTGTTATTCAAAAAATCTTCCACTGTATAGAAGGTATTGTTCAACAGCCATCGACGAAACAATGTTTTAAATTGATTTATAGAGAGGTCCTTCGATTGTACTGGTATTTTCCTGTAGATATTTTGATACATAATGGTAGAATTCTTTAAGAATTATTTTGTTTTTGGGACAATTTCCAATACCAGTTTATGTGGATGGCGCCTGAACCTTTCGACCTGATACATATTTCTTGCGCAATAAATAATTTCTTTATAACTAACTGCACTGACAGCTAAAAATCTTTATAGCCGTAAAAAGTAAACAATTCCAGTTAGTACAAATTATTTATTCGTATGACCGTTTGCCCACAGAGCTCTGTAAACAATTTAATTCGGTTGTCCTCATAGTTAAAGAGTAAGGGGCTGATCTCTACTTACCCCGCAAGGGACCCAGCACAAAGATATATTTAGAAATAATAACACACATTATGAATGCGAAAATAACAAATTAATATTTTATTTTCCATCTTAACCAAAAATACCTCTGTGACCTAACCCTTCACACCGATTTCAAAAAATTTTGAAGTACTGATTTCGTTTTGGTCAAAATAGTTGTACCAACTTTTTTATATTGTCTTGGTTGTGGATGTTGTGGTGCAGTGGTACTTTAGTGGTTTCAGATTTTCATAATAAAAAATAACAGCTTGAAGAAAGGTCGCATGATCAAATACCGTCTCGAGCCAAGTTTCTAATATTCTTCATAAGGTAATAATGGCGTTTCAATAAAATTAATAACGTATTTAGTTCTCTCTAAACACCTCAGCAGCAAATGCTTATCATACATCTGATTGAAGGCTATTGATAAAAATCAGGTAGAAATGCGGTAATAAGTTTTTACCTTATGAGACCTATGAACTAAGAATAAATGGATAAGAATCAACCACTACATAAATGTAACGCGTTGGAATGATTTCAAAGCTAAAGCAAGTTAACACAGCAAATTCCCGGCAATACAAAGGTGTTCCGCCTTAATTAAGAGTATTAATTATTATTATACCCGTATCTTGAAGGATTAATAAAATCTTTTATTGTGTAGTCATAAAGGTAAATTGTACAAAGTTAATTAAATATGATTACAATCTGTCTCGGCGTGCTTCTAATGCCGAATTCTATTATAATATTCAGATAATCATTATTTCGATGTCTGTTACGAATTTAATTACAATGAGTATTAAGGAAAAGAGAATTTTCTTTAGGTTGTATGGAAAATAGATACTACGTAAATTAGAGTTAAACATCGCTAAATTGCAATTAATTTTAATATTAATGCCAACAGCGTAAAGTAAGCAATGGCAAAGTTTATGTAAGTTCCATAAAATCTGGGTCTGTCGATGGGGCGACCAAAATGTTATTATTTAAAGATTCACCGTACTTCAAAAGCCACGTTATTCTATTACCTCATATGAAACTGTACTTTATTGGGTTTCTAGAGTTCACGGTCTATTTAATTAACTATTAATTATTATTAACTCCATTTTACAGATTTTTATGTGATTTCATACACCCAGTTCTTGAATATTGAGGTTATTAGTCCAATGACAATCATATGACTCCATATGCCATGTGATATGTTTAAATAGGTATATCACGCTCGGTAAAATTTGTACAAATTTGATAATTTACTTTCTCGGGAATCCCTTGTCAGTTATGGGAGCCTGGACTATGCAGGAGGGTGCAATGGAAGATTTTGATGGTTAAGCCAAAAAACCAGTGCCTCTACAGTGTAGGATAATGATGACACCTCATATGTATAAAATTTTGGAGGAT